CTGCCGGCAGAGGCCAGGCTGGGCGGCGAGAGGCGGGCTGGGGGGTGAGGGGCCCGGGCCCCGGCGGGCAGCACACCCCTGCCCGGGGGCAGCTCGTCGCGCCGGTGTGAGAGGCCCGGCTGTCCCGAGGGGCTGCTTCTCACCAGTGACTGCCAGCAGGAGCGGGCTTTGTCCCAAATACCTGAATGACAAATGCCTGGAGGACACCCTGCCTGCCCTGTCGAAGTGGCCCTCAGGAAGGGCCAGTCATGGAGCCCGCACGGGCTCCCGAGGTAGCCTGGCCTTCTGACAGGGAAAGGCGAGTATCTCAGCAAATCTCCCTTGCTAAAACTCAGGCCAGCTAATAAGAAACAGTTTTACAGTGCTTGTTAATACTTAGATGTGCTACTTTGCTTACAGATACGTTGCAAGTACCCGGTGGCATTACCGTTTCTGCCAGAGGTTTCCAGACGACTGCTAATGCACGGCTGCACTTGGCTGTGGTCTGCAAAACGCAATGGATTTTCATTTTGCTGCCAACATTAGATCACATTAGTTTAAACTAAATCAACATTAAATATTTTTTTTTCCATTAAAAGAACAATTTTGCCATTTTCCATTAAAAGAACAATTTTTTTCCATTAAAAGAACAAAAAGAACAATTATGCAGTGTTGTTAACTTCAGGAAATAATGAGCCAGGCATTCCATACCATAATCTTCCATAGTTCTTTCTACTGCCTTCCCATGTTTTAACTTTAGGGTGTACTAGGATTAAGCTTCAAGCTTTTCTTTATGACACACTCATAAACTTGATGCTTATTGAAAGTTCAGATCTGCAATCATTTGCAGACTTCCAGGAGATTAAATTTTTAGGAAGAATCAGCAGCAGTAATAGAAATGTGACAAAATGTAATAAAAATGTGATAAAAATGACAGTCTTAAAAGGTAGCGTCTGTTTCAGTAGTACAAACTCGAATGTTACAGCACTGACGACATGCAATACTAATTTGGGGACTTTTTCATTTTAGACATCACTTTAAGACGACATCATGGATAAATATGAAATAATAAAAAAAATTGGACAAGGATCTTTTGGCAGAATATTCTTGGCAAAAGGAAAAGTGGATAATGAGCAGCGTGTTATCAAAGAGATCAATTTAACTAAGGTGAAACAACAAAACCTGAATGATAATGACTGTTACTTACCTGACTGCTAATTGCATTTAGCTAGGGTATGAACTTGGCTTATGTTTTAGCTCCTTTGTAGATCCATCTTGATTATATGGAGTTAAACTTTCTGAAGACTACTCTTTGCTAATTTAGTGTTTTTACAAGCACAGACAAAATGTATTTTGCTATTAACTGTTCACCTTTTACTGCAGTTTTGTTCTTTTCAGAACTTCTACCTACAATGTGTAACACTACCTAATTCAAATTTTATAATAGATGATTCAACTACAGTGAAACTATTGCCACTGAAATAGCAAACCACAATTTTGTGATACATTTCTCTAAACTTTTTTATTTCCCTTTTTTTTCCACATCCATATTTTCAGACATGAGCAATCCACAATGGAGTCTTTCCAATTCTCATTTATGTTTATGGTAGCTTGATTCATCGCATTTAATTTTAAATTTCTATTCTAGCTGTTAGCATCTGAGCTGCTTGGCTGGACTCCCTTTGTAGGAGAACAAGAGAAATACAGCTTTTTAGGATGCTGTTGATCGTATGTGTTTTAGACTTATATTTTAGAATGAGCTGAATCAGCATAAAAGCACTCTTTCCTTCTGTTGGCTGCAGAGGGTCACTAGCTGAAGTATCAGAGGAGTACCACTCCTGTATCTAGTTCCAGAGAGAAAGGCAATTAAACTCCCTGTGATTTCAATACATGGGTTTCAGCAGTAAATTTCAATGAGTGCCTACATATTTTTGACAGGTCTTTTGCTAATCTGGGCCACACTAGTGAATTTCCAATATATTAGGTAATTATAATAGATTAATAAGTTTTTATACATTAGTTCTAGAAAGAGCTGTATAACTTCCAGATTCAAACCCAGAAAAAATTTTAGGCTAAATAAAAAAAATAGTTTCTCTCTATGCTCATGACCAATAAAAACAATGCATTTCTGATCTTAGATTTTGATGTACACAAAATCGAAAAATAGAAGTAAACAAAATATTATTGTGGATCCTACTTGTTAATCAGGAGCTGGATACAGAAAATTACTACTGTGAAGTCATAAGATTTTTTTTTTAATGATAGGGTGTGTTTCATTCACTTTCTGATTTTTTAATCTTTGAGGATTGTATTTCAAAATTATTTCTTAAGAATGAGGGTAAGAAACTTTTTATAAATACAAGAGAACATTTTGATGGATAATCAGACATGAATTTTTAGGAAGTAAGATTGATTAAAGTGTAATCACAATGAACCAAATAGAAGTTTTCCTTTTAATATAACAGGGCAAAGAGTTTGCCCAAAATGTTTCAAGAACTCATAATGCCAGTAAGATGAAGGACTTTTTTTCTTTTTACTTTATTCTTCCAAGATCATCCATATTAAGAATACAGAATCATCTAGACCCTTATTCTTCAAATACTTAAGGGAAGTTTGACTTTAGAGTTTAACTCTATTCATCAGCTAGCTTAGCAGTAGCATTTGTGTAAAAAGTTTAAATGTATGCATTTGCCTGTTTGTAAAATGTCATAATTTGGTTTGACTTCAGTAATGTTCTAATATATTTCCAAGTGTATACTGCAGACTGATATTTTACATTATACGTACATCATATTTTATAACATTTTTGCATCACTTGGGTACACAAGTGTTTTTGTATTTGCGAGAATGGTTTGATAATGATTTAACTATTTTTGAAAAGAGTTAAATGTATCATTGCTAGTATATAGTTTCTTAATTCTTTGTAGATGCCTGTGAAAGAAAAGGAAGCCTGTCAGAAAGAAGTCATTCTTCTGGCCAAGATGAAGCATGCAAATATTGTAACCTTCTATGCTTCTTTGCAAGGTTTACTTTTAACATTTTTGTTTTATTTGTGATTATAGGAGTGGAAGGCAGCAAAAACCTACCTTGTTAATATTGCCCAACCTTAAGCCTGTCCCCAACCCTTTATCTACCAGTGGGGACAGGTCCAAACTCCTAAAAATGAACATGAGGTATCAAATTCAGTCATCACTTGCCCGCTTTATGTGTGTGTGGGGGACCTAAGGTATTGTGGCATGAATGCTAGATCCTGAGGTGACTGCATTGTTTGAGCTGAACTTTAGTCTTGATCTTCAATAGCAGTCCAGAGTTTAATGAGACTTTTCTGGAAGTTTCAATAGAAGAAGAGAGCTTTTGAGTATAGCAAGAAATAGGTCCTGTTGGCTTTCTGTCTTGAGCCATATTTTGAAGTATCACTCAAGGATGCAGAATTTTTCAGGACCGAAAGAGGTAGAAGGAAGTCTGTTCTCCATAAAAGTTAATTCCCTATATTTATATTTCCTGCTGACATCTGTCATAAGCAATGCCTCATGTAATGAATGCTGTAGTTACAGCTTCCATTCAATTTGTTTTCTGTTATCAGAACTGTAAATGTTTTAAGAGACATATAAATCTGATAGTTTTCTGGGCCCCAGAGGGGTAGGAATAGGGTCAGTTTCCATATTAAGTAGTCCCTGCTCTTTGTTTCTACTGTTTGAGCACTGTCTACTGTTAAACTTTTCCCTAAGCCTAACTGTATATTTAGCTATTATTGTGGAATGATCCCAACAATGAATCATTCTGCTAAGCATTCCTTGTAAGAAATCTGTCTTTGTATCAGTCTGGTCTCTTGAGGGTTTTCTCATGTGTTTAATATTCTGGTAAATCTCTACTTAAATATTTTTTCATGTCTTAGTTTTGCATCAGGTTTCACTGGAAGTATCCATTTTCTCTCAGTTACTCCTCGAAAGGGAGGAGTAGGTAGAGGATTAACTACCCCCTTTTGAAAGAAGGACCATATAAAATAAAATGAATTTATTGCTGTATTAATGAGTAATAAAAGAATAAAGGAAAAAATATACTTTTCCTTTCAGAAAAGAACAAGCTATATATTGTGATGGAATACTGTGATGGTGGAGATTTAATGAAGCGGATAAATATGCAGCATGGAGTGCTGTTTGACGAGGACCAGGTGAAAGAAGTTATCTTTAGAGGAAAGAATATATTATATAAACTACATGGTTTGAATTATCCAGTACTAGCTACTGTTTCTTTTCTGGCCTGTTAAAATAATCGAATGTTTTAAATAAGCTTTTGTAATTTCAACTGGATTTTGAAGTTTGCTTTTTACACTGCTTTAAGGTCTTAATTAGCAGTATTTTGAAGCTCCTTTTATCCCCCCTCCCTTCCATTGCTCTTTCCATTGTGGATATAGCTTTTATTAGTAGTGTACCTATTAATCCATAAAGACTTTTTTTAAAATGGTGTTTTAGAATTGGGGGGGGGATATATTATATACCAGTTTCTCATTTGTTTATGCTGTCTGCATCATGGCATATTCTGCTTTATAGTGACGTCAATGGTACAATGGTAAACCTCTCATCCATTTAGTTTGGGTCAAGACTTCTCTGATGCTGTTTAAATTGTTAACCCAGCACAGAGAAACAAGCCCAGACATCTGACTGCTTTTGGACCATGTTCACATATATTTTATTTTGTAAATAGGTGATTATGATAGGTATTGCAATTCACAGAAACAGAATTTCTCACTATTCCTTACTTATTCCTTTATTTTTTTACTAACTCTTAGCTGTCTGAAGAAAATGTTCTCTTATATATCTGACTTAGTGTACTGAACTCTGAGGTTATTTATTCATGCATAGTCTTCTGCTTTTGCAGGTACAATAAAAATTTACCTAAAAACTAGATAGTATCCAACCTGTTAGTGAGAATATATTCTAAAGCATAAAAGTGGAAAAAAGAATGAAGTATTGTGACTTATCTTTTTGCTATAGTAGTAAATTAAGAACTCCTTAGCATAGAAGTGAGTTGAAAGTGAATTACTGCATCAGTAATAATGAATTTTAAGATCCTATTGGGAGTTATACTAAAGGTAGAGAACATGAGAGAAAATAGGGAGAGGACAAAACCACAGATCATGAAAACACAAGAGAGAGCAAACACACACAAACCCCTTGACAACAAGACAGAATAATACATACCTATAGAAAGGCAAAGGAAATACAGACAGAAGAATGGAATATAGAAACTAAAGATACATCTGCTAATCAAGAAAACAAATTGTCCAATTTAACATAATGTTGTTAAAATATATTTATATTTTCAAATGCATGACTAAGAAAGTCTCATTTGTGGCATCAGCCCTGTTCAGGAAATCATCTGGTTAATGTGAAGCTTTACAAATAGAAGATTATTACTTGAACTGAAGTCTTTCATGATCACAAATTTTCCTAAATAGAGAAGCATATAAAGACAGTATATTTTTGTTTCCGAATTAAATCGGAAGGCCCTTATTCAAGAAAACACATGTATATATGAAGTTAAATATATGTTTAAAAGCTGTACTGGGTCAAGGATAAATGATAAATTTGTGTGCTTACTTATTATGCAAGTTTCTTCATAGCTCCTTTCTTTCACCACATTTCAGACCTTTATCCTTTGTTTCTGTTTTTTTTTTTTTCTGGACCACATTCATAAGACTACAAATATAATAACTGGGTGGAATGACTTCCACCACTGAGGATTAAAAAGACACTTTCCAATTGTTGTTGTCAAAGCTGTTATTTGAACTTTCTAAATAAAGGTCTGGTATTCTTATTGTCCTTTGACTTGATTCTTCAGTCCTTGTTTGAGTACTCCTCCTGTAACAGTCAGTGAAAGCCTGATGGGGATAAGGAAAGTGGAGCAGGTATCTATTTCCGTTTGATTTTGTGACAGCACTAAAAAAGGAAAGGAAAAGACTATGGCATTAATTTGAAAAATATTATTTATTACTATTTTATACTGTATATGCTCTTCATATTTTAGATTTTGTTGTTATCTTTTATATACTTCAGTAAGGTGCCCCATTGGGCATTAGAGTCACATAAATTTATAGGTATCTGTTCCCTTTATCTTTCACTGCAGATTCTGAGTTGGTTTGTGCAGATCTCCTTGGGCTTGAAGCATATTCATGACAAGAAGATTTTACACAGAGATGTAAAGGCACAGGTAATAAAACTGGCATTGGGAAGGGAGTGGTTTTGTCTTGTAAAAGATATGCTTAAGAAGCTCTGCCATGTTTCGTTTTCACATATCAGTTTTGGTTTTATTTGCAGAACATTTTTCTTAGCAATAATGGAAGGGTAGCGAAGCTTGGGGACTTTGGCATAGCAAGACAGTTGAACAGGTAAACACTTTTTTTAATTAGTCTGTCACCTACACCAAATAAGACTGTTTCTAAATGTTCAGAATGCAACCTGAATGCGCAGATTGTTTGTGGATTGTGCTTGTTCAAGAGGTCTGGGATGCAAAGGGTCTGTCTGGCATTACAATTTTTTCTGTTGTCCTAAAACATTCGGTCCTGCATGAAACCACAGATGTATCTAGCCTAGCATAGGGTGGGGATCTTTCCCCACTCTCTGTGGAACTGACATAAAGAGATTCTGGAGACATGGCTCCTGCTGCTGCCGTGGATATCGTTGTTCCAGCTGCAGTCTCTGCCAGCTCTGGTACCTTTGTGGTGTGTTTTTTGTGAAGCAAAGACCTACTGTCAGTGACTCAACTCTCCAGGTGTAAACTACTTATGTAGAAAGTGACTACGTTCGGAAGTGTTCTGGGAATAATTGCTTTAAGGGTTGCTCCTACACAGGAGAATAGTACATAGCAGATAGTAAGTAGACCTCCGAATTTGAATGTCCAAGTGCAGACATTCTAAAGAGTATTTGATAGGCTTGTACAATGAAATAATTGGAGCTTGATAATACTTTTCCTTATATAACAAGTGAATTAAGTTTCTCAGGCTCTCTTTCCCTCTTCCCCTGGGGTATACAAAGGCATTGTCATCTCCATTCTCCTCTTCAAAATGCAGTAGTGTCCCCTTACTTGCAGTTAGGTGTCTGTGGCACCTCAGACTTCATATACTATATAAAGAGTGTAACTTCAAACTTCTGTTGGCATCCAGTATAGAGGGATCGTACTCTGTGAGTCCCTGTTTCTCTCCACTGACTTCTCAGTGACTCTTGATGACATCCATAGTGCAGGTATCTAAAAGCAAGTGAAATGAATGCAACTGGTGCTATTTGGCTACACCTTCACGGATCAGCAGCAAAGATGGAACTAGAATTCATTTACTCCTGCTTTAGTTTCTGGGCAGCACTTCCTTCCACTGTTTCTGGCTTGTGTGACTGACTAGCACCTACGATATTCTTAGTTCGATAAGTATATTAGAGACTTCTAATATTTCGTTCTGTGTTTGACAGCTCTCAGAATTCTGTGTTAACGGTAACCGTTCCTTGAAAATGTTGATTACAATGATGGTGAAAACTGGGCAAAAGAGAATTCTTGTGCTTTCTGTTGCAGTGCAAATGGTCTCCACTATTAAAACAGTTGGTCATTTTTACACAGAACTGGGAAATACCTTACTTTTTTCTTGGGGTGTTCCATTATTCAGCTACTGGAGGGCAAAAGTAATGTCCTCCATGGGCTATTCAGTTGGGGCACAGAAGCCTCTAGTTCAATTGCTTGTAAACTTTTTGAACGCATAAACCTTTTTGTTCATTGTTTTTCATTAGCACTATGGAGTTTGCCCATACCTGTGTAGGGACCCCCTATTATCTGTCACCTGAGATCTGTGAAAATCGACCATATAACAATAAAACGTAAGTCTCTGTCTTTCATTCATACACTTGTGCATGAGGTTATGCAGGCATGCGAGAACTTATTTTAGTAATATGGTTTAAATCAGTATTTCTTTCGAGCACCAGGAATTTCATGCGTCACCTTTTGTGAAGTTTTGTATTATTGTGTACAATAATTAGGTGCATCAATCACATATACAACAACTATGTTATACTATGCCACACTGTCAGTTGTATTTTGACTCACAGTGTCCAGAGTATAGCAATCATTAATTTGTTGTGATTAATCTACAGGCTTAACATAAATATATATTTGTTTTTATAAAATTATTTGTACTTTAAACTTAAAGCTTAATCTCATTTTCTTTTAATACTCCTTGTTAGGAGTAGCATGAATATAAAATAGAATTTTTTTCCTTTGCTTTATCTGGTTCTCTATCAAATATTACATTTCTGTTTGTGTTGCCAGCGTGTAGCAACCAATGCAAGTATGGTTCTTATTACTTCTGAGTTTATGAATTTTTGATACACTCATTTATGATTTATAAAAATACACTAAAATGAAAGCTGCTAGGTTGGCAATTCTGGAACTTTGCAGTAGTCACCTGCAGGAAAGACAAATAGGTCTGAGAATTGTAAAGGCTTAATCAGGCTTAACACAAAATACCAAAAAAATAACAAGATGAGAAGCACTGAAAAGTCAGGTGCTGAGTGAGCTAGAGCCCCTTCTCTGTGTGTGGGATGTGATCAACACCAAATATCCTGGAATCCAGACTAGCATCTCAGATCTAAGCTGCTATTCACACAAGTTTACTCACTTATTGTCTCCTTAACTATCAAGTCAGCCAGAGATAGTGTTGCCAGTCACCCTGCTAGGAATATTAACCAGGCATTCTCTATGTCATGTGCCTTGTCCAGTGATAATTGGAGTACCTAGATGCGTGTTGTAGAAACATTGGTACCATAATTAGAAAGAAATTTCAGGTTGTTCTTTTCAGTGCATCTTAAGAAAAATCTAAAGTTGCAGCAATATTAATCTGTGATGTAATAATGTTAATAAATTTGAGAGCTGAGGGTAGGTACTGATTACATCTATGAAAATATTATAGTCTTTTCCCTGAAATTTTAATTAATTTTTATTCACAGAGATATTTGGTCTCTTGGCTGTGTACTTTATGAACTATGTGCACTAAAGCATCCTGTAAGTACCATAGAATCAGATCAATATCATACTATTGAAACAGATAGCCTGCAAAAACTGTAGTAATAATAGTATTTATAGGCAGCTGCTAGAATTACTTTCAATTTATTTATTGATATAAAAGAATGACTGCCAGTGTTTAATTTTTCGTATTGTGTCTGTTTTGTGCATACTAGAATACAATGTATTACATTGTATTTCCACAGTTTCCATATATACACGCATCAAACATACATTTACTCTTTAGTAAGGGCAAAACTTTTTGAAGGGGCAGATAAACAATTTAAAGAATTAAAGCCAAACTTCAAGGTTATGCTTTAGCCATATAATTTTACTAATTTTTATTTGAAAATACCAATCTATATTTACTAAAGAATTTGAAATCCACATTTCCCCAGCAAGCAGTTTGAGTCCCCAGAGGCATCTTGATAAAGTTTTAGTTTTGTTTGGAAGCACATTCATATCAAAAGATAACTGAGATAGCATCTTCAGGGAGCTGTGTTGTCCTCAGCCTGATCTGAGCCTCAGATAATCCTCAGCCTGTGAGTATTATGTGGAGAATGGAACACAACAGATACTAATCCTGACAACAGGAAAAGAATCAGATTCCTGAGCCCAGCAGAAGTTGACGTTTGCTGAGCTTGGATGCGGGAGAAGGCAGAGCATCACTGATAGGGAGAGCAGTCGTGCTGAGCTGAGAGCAAGGGGATACTGCTGAGAAAAATTCCAGATTTCACAAAATGAGAAAACATTAAAATTACTTCTTATGAATGTAAGCTGTTGTATTCTGTATTGCCCATTTTGCTTTATTTGAAGGCAGGGACTAGATGCTGATGTAGACAGGAAATGAAAATGAAGCTAAGGCAACTTTTGGTTACAACACCTTCAAAATACTCAAGTAAATAAAGTGGCAATTTTAGAAAGAAGTTGCTTTCAAGATTGGTTTTTCCTGTCTAAGGCCCTTAAAATTATATTGATGCTGACCTGTTAAGAGATCTGCTGAACTGAGAGGGCTGAGTTATCTAAGTAGCATCAATTGTTAAAAAAATCAGAGGTTATACCTTGGTTCTTGAGAGGACACAGAAGCTAAATTGTGTGGAGTGAGGTTTTGAAGGTGAACACTGTGAATATAGTATGTATGCATGTTTTTGTTGAACAGCTTTTGGCAAAATAAATCATATTTTATTCTGGAAAAGTTGCTATTGTATGACAGCAGAGTATGAATAAAACTCTTCCAGGTACAAAAGCTATCAGACCTGCAACTGAAACAGGAGAACGAAACCAGAAAATACAATCAGAGTGGTTATATTAATTTTCCACAGCAATCTATGGATAGCGAGAAAGGATTTGTGAAGAGATTGCATAGTACAGGGCTCCTGTCATCAAGTACCTGTTTTAAAGTTGGACTGTGTAGTCCATCGTTTCCAACCAGCAGTACTTACTGTCCTCTTTTTACTGTTTTAATTGATTAAGTTTGAAGGCAATAGTTTGCACCAGCTGGTGCTGAAGATCTGCAGAGGACATTTTCACCCAGTATCTCCCAACTATTCATATGAATTGAGGATATTAATTTCCCAGTTGTTTAAAATATCTCCAAGAGATCGACCATCTATAAGCTCTATTCTAAGGAAGCCCTTCTTGCAGAAGCTTGTTCTCAGGTATTTGCCCCCTGAGGTGAGTGCCTTTTGCTGCTGCTTGCTGAGAGTAAAAATGTGTATCAGAGTAGTATAAACAGTTCTATCAGATACCTTTTTGCTTACAGATATCACAGGAAGAACTTGGACGCACTGTGATACATAGAAAAAGGCCTTCAGAATCACAGCCTGGAGCCAAGCTGATACAAGGTATTATTTAACATTAGTTGTACACTAACATTTGTTAGTTATGATATACTTGATGGCTATAACTTTGTCCAGCAGTCTTTCAGGCACATCTGGACACAAGAGTTTCACACAAAGTTGAAAATAAAAAGAGGAGGGAACTGCAACAGTAGAAACAGTGCATATTACTGTTCTGTTTGGGAAAAGACAACTTTAAGACCTGCTCATTAGCAATGTTCAGCTAAAAAAGCTGCCATGGGAACATGCTGAAATGTTAATTCTTTTAAGAACAGAATTTACGAAACTGAGAGGCTTTAATTTAGATGCAGTGTAGTTCTGTCACATGACGAACATCCTTACTTCATTTTGCCAAGCTATGTGCAAAAATATAAAAATCTTGCAAAACTTGCTTCATGGTATTTTACAAAATAATAAAAATGTATTTTACAAAATATTATAAATTAGATTAAATTATGAGAGACAATGAACTCTGGTTTAGTGCTCATTGATAGATCAGATTGTGTATGCGTATTCTTAGAAAACATGGATGAGACTAAATGGTATTTATGTCTGTATGAACTGCTGAACATACGATGTTTCTGGCACCATAATCTTTTCCTAATTTTGTATTCTTCAGTATATCATAATTATTCCTCAGATTTTTCTTTGAAGGTATTAAAGTAGTTTAAACACATCTGTGAAAATAAACCAGCATAGTTACTTAACTATGCTGTGGACTTTTTTTTTTTTCCCCAGAAAAGTTCTTCAGTTGTGTAGGAACCCATATTATTTTGTAAATGTTATTTATCTGCCCTAAGGTTTAGGCATTTTAAAAAGTATCTATGGTCATATACTCATAATTTTCATATATTTTTTCTTCTAGACATGATACTCTAACAGTCATTACCCAGGAAAAATTCAGAACTCATTTAGAAACTACTTAATCCTAGCAAGGACACTACTTTTCATTTTTGCAGATAAGATCTTGCAAAATACTGACTGACCAAACTGGAATGGTGTGTGCTTTTATTCTCTTACCTGGGAAAATGATAAACTATTTTTTTTCCCTTTGCAGCCCTTCTTTCCAGATTTCCCAAGGACTACAACATTGTCTAGTGATTTGTAGAATACTGAGGGCTAGGTTTAGAAAGGGAATGCCTAAGCAGGTAGACACCTAACCTCCAATGAAATCTGAGCCAAAGAGTCAAGCCTGTTTTCTGTTCTTGGTAGCATCAAATCAGCATTCTATTTTATAGAGACTTCTCTTTTATTTATTGTGCTTCTTTGCAAAACTAATCAGTAAGATCCACTTTACTTGACTGCATTAAATAATAATGTTTTCAAAAATGTTATTCTAAGAATGAAGGGCAAAATGCCTAGGAAGTGTGAAGTATGGTGATGATGATGACGAAAGGATGTAAGGAGTGTTTATTAGCCCAGACTGTTAGCATTAGCTGTATGCACCCTACTGTGTTTGCAACTACATTATCATTAATCATGTAGAGAGCACAGAAGGTAACCTTTTAATTTGTTATTGTTAAGAAGCACATAAACTTCAAAAAAGGAGAGTCCAAGACCAAGTTCCTCCAGAATCTGAAATGGTGGTACCTGTCAAACAGGAATTATTTCAAAGAAGTGAATGGAAACCTCCTTCAAGAGGGCAGCAGCCTCTTTTTCAGGTATTGTGCATCCACATTCTCTTAATATTTAATAAAATTCAGAAGGCAAATTCCTGCTCTTAGAAAAGACCCTTTAAAAGGCTTCATCTAGAGGTATTAAATTCAGCTTAATGCCTACACTAAGTCAGTGGAAACAGTTAAACACTCCTGAAGCCTCAGAAGAGGTATTTTAGAAAACATAAGTGGGGAACACTGAATTTTGGCTGCTTAAGTATGGTCCTTTGTAACAAAAGGAGTCAGTTACGCTTTGCATTTACATTGCACAAAGGCAAATAAACTCCGTTTGCATTTTTGCTATAGATCCAAATACACTGATTCTCTTACCTCAACCCTTCATCAGCAAAACCACTGGCACCCATTGCCCTTGTCTCAGATACTATTACAACAAACTGTGATCAAACCCTACACCAGAAAACTCCAGTTCTTCACAACCATTTGTGTATCTCAATCGTTTTCCACCTCCTTCTTTTCTCACTGAGGATCAGCTGTATGCTGTCTCCAGCCTCTTACTTGGTTCAGGAGCATGTAGTACATGCTGGTGAACACAGAGCAAAGCACATTTAGGATCTGGAACCTCCCAGCAGTAATTGCACAGTGCACTTACAGTGGATTAATTGATAGTAGAGTCTTGTGGGGTTCCCAGAACTGCAGCCTCTGGTCCTGTCACTGGACACCACTGAAAAGAGCCTGGCTCTGTCCTCTTTGCACCCTCCCTTCAGGTATCTATATACGTTGATAAGATCCCACCTGAGCCTTCTCTAGGCTTAAGAGTCTGAACTCTTTCAGCCTTTCCTCATAGGAAAAGTGCTCTGGTCTCTTAATCGTCTTTGTGGCTCTTTGTTGGACTCTCTCCAGTATGTTCCTGTCTCTGTTGTACTGGAGAGCCCAGCACTGGATGCTCCAGGAGTGGCCTCACCAGTGCTGAGCAGAGGGGAAGGATCACCTCCCTCATCCTGCTGGCAATACTTTGTCTAATGAAAACCAAGTATATCATTCACCTTCTTTGCAGCAAGGGTACATTGTTGTCTCATGGTTGTCTTGATGTCCACCAGGACACCTAGGTCCTTTTCTGCCAAGCTACTTTCTAGCTGGGTGGCCTTCAGTGTGTACTGGTGCACAATGCAGGACTTTGCACTTTCCCTCATTGAACTCCATGAGGTTCCAGTCAGCCCATTTCTCCACCTGTTGAGGTCCCTCTGCATAGTAGTACAACCCTCTGGTGTCTCAGCCACTCCTTCCAGTTTTGTCATCATAGAAGCATGACTTAACCCTTGGTGTATCCATGCTGACTAGTCCTGATGATTTTCTTGTCCTTCCTGCACCTGGTTCACAGGATGAGTTTTTCCGTCACCTTGCTAGGCATTAAGGTGAGGCTGACCAGCCTGTAGTTTCCTGGGTCGTTGTTCCTGCCCTTTTTGAAGATGTGAGTGACTGTGATGGTTTTAAGCCCTGCCAGGACCGGAGACCACATTGCTGTTGTCCCTCCCCAACCCTTGGACACAAGTAGGGCACAAACCCCGGGTTAAAATAAGAAGAAATTTAATACAACAGTGTAATAAGCAATCTGAACAACAACAGTAGCAATGATAGCAACATTAAACAGTAATAGCATTAAACAAGACAGAAGATATACAGAGAAATACCATAATGGATATAGAGAGCTCGCTCACGATGCTCCCTGCCACCAAAGCCACAAAGGAAAGCTTCACGCGCTGCCACGCTGGACCTGACCTCAGCATGGTATGAATAACACGGCTGGAGATCCCTTCCCCCTCTCTGCTGGGGAAACTTAACCCTATCCTAGCTGAACCAGGACAGTGACATTCGCTTTTCTCCAGTCCTTGGGCACTTCTCCCAGTCACAGCTATGATCATGCAAAGATAGTAGAGAATGGCTTTGCAGTGACATCTGCCAGCTCCCTGAGTGTTCATGGGTGCATCCCATGAGGGTGCATGGATTTACATTTGTCCAGTATGTTTCCTAACATTTTCACCAAGGATACATCTTCCTTGCTGCAGACTTTCCCCCTAGTCACAGGGGCTGGGATTTCTGAAAGCTGGTCTTTCTAGCAAAGACTCAGGTGAAGAAGGCATTTAGTACCTCAGCCTTTTCCATGGCCTGTGTCACCAGGGCACCTGCTTCACTGGTCACAGTTTTCAACCCTCTTACATTTATTTAGATGACCTAATTTGTTCTCCCTATTGCTTGGAATTGCCATGCTTCTGAATACCATGCTGTAAAACTTATTTCAGTGAGGGACAAGATAAAGACATTTTGGGGTTACCTCTTCCTCAGGAGCATTATTGTCAGTGGAAAATTTTCTTCTTGTATAGAAAGGAATTTATATTCTACTGTAGTCTGGATTATATTGTAGGTAGATGAGCCTATTTTCATGTTTCTAAGAAGGAAAACAGGGAAACATAGTTGATATATTTACCATCTAAAGAAGGGATACTTAAATGCTTTTTAATTTATGTAAGAAAATAAACCAAATTCAGCATTTTTCTTATACAACATGTAATGGTTTTTAGTCTCCCACCATGGAAAAGTTTGTGAATGTCTTATCGCACTTCTTTTATATCATGTAGTGGCAGCTAGATGATCACACTCTCTCCATTGTTCTTATAAGAAATGGAAAAGACAGTCTTGTCACAAAGTAGAAATACTGTTTCATCACAGTGAGGACTTTGAGAAATGAAAGGCAAGCTCCCACAGGCACATAATCAAAGAGATGGTGACATGTAGCACAGTACTCCCCTGAAAGCAGCAGTCAATGTGCATGCTGCCCAAAACTACATCCCAGATTCTCATTGCTCTCACATGTCAAAATCAGATTCTCCTGGAATTTATTCGGTGCTTTAGGCTTCAGAACAATGAAGGGACTCTAGGGCAATGACACTACAGGGTACAAGCTCCATACTGATTGACTTGCACAACAACATGGGATGCTGCTTAATGACAGGAGCCGATGGAACATGGAAAAAGGAAAAGACAACGGTAAGATGACATATACCCTGAGAAATTAGAAAGTTTCTGGGTTATATTTGAAAGGATTTGGGAAACTTACACTGGCTGTATTGTAGACTATATTACTGTGAAACTCAGACTGTGGAGAAGGACAGGAAGTTAATTCAAACTTGTACTGATACAAATGAGAACAGGTAAATGAACATCCTTTATTATATTTTCAGCCAGAGAGCTCCAAATTTAAGATGGCAGAAGGGCCAGAAAGTATTAGAGTACGTGGCCATTATGGTCATTACTATGATAAGCTTGACAACTTGCAGAGGAAAGCACATTATGACCTTTCTCACATCAGCCAAAGAGTTGAAGAATACTATAAACTAAAAGGACAAGTGGCACCTTTGCCCCCACCACCTGACTGGTAAACTTTTTGCTTTTTTTATTAGTAGTGAACTGTTATGCATGTTTTGAGTTATCAGCCTTCCTGATTAGGTAACACTGGACATGGCTCATTCAGTATAATTCCTTCTCTGCTTGGTCTTTAATGTTTTTTACATGTTTATTGAACCATAACTCCCTGTCTATCCAGAAATTTCTTCTGAATATATTGTCCTGATGTTTGAAATTCCACTATCAAAATGTTTCTCAAATCTAAGCATTTTATTTGGCAAGAAGTAAAACACAGGCTTTTTATAAAGTTTCTGATTATATCAAGGATAAACACTGTCTTTCCTTTGCACCAGGATCAGAATGATACAAAGACCAAAAGCAGTTCTTCACTTGAGGGAACAGAGTGGGAGGCAGGCTATGAAAATGCTTTTTTCCTGCAGAGGTTATATTTTGGTTTCAGCTATAAAGACCCTTTCCCCAGCAGTTTGTTTACTTCAAAGCCTTTGTCTTACAAAGTAGAGGTACAACAGTTTTATTACTTTAGAGACTGCCAGTCCATCCCATGATTGGCCATTTCAGGTGTGGAAAACCTTGAGAAAGGAAGGCAAGGAATTTTTAATGCTGCCTACTTTAGAATCCTTCCTTTAAGGTTGACTGAATAATTTTCATTAAATATAACAATAGTGTTTAGAATATTTCAGTAAAGGATCATCAGGTTTAGAACATCTTGTCTAAGTTGCTGGCCTTATTTAAGGACAAAGTCAATTCAGTTTGGCTTCGTGGGGCACAAGTGGATTCTAAAGGTACGAAATGAAATAAATAGAGATCAGGGAGCTTACAAGTGACTGCTAGTTATTTTATATCAGAAAAAGATGTAAATGTTTAGAAGCCACAAAACTACATAAATACAAAGTTAGGGTGATAGAATTAGGCACAAAGGAGAAAGGAAATAGAAAAGTTGTCAAATATACACCTCCATACTGACAATTTTCACTCATTTCAAGGATCGGGAAAAATAACTTTATTTTCATTAACACTTTCACATACCATTTATGAAATAAAAGGTGGAGAAGGACTTTGCTGCACTCTTCAAAAGGCTAATGTAACCGAAGTAAATAGGAAGGGAAATGCCTGAAGTGGATACATTTCGTTTTTGTTATTTTACTGTTGTTCCACATTTATACATATTTTATTCATATTTATATATTCATGTAGTACAAAGAGAGCTCTATTTGTCATATGTGATAGAACCTGTAGAGGATAATTTGTGCAGAAGATAGCAGAGTCTGTGAAATAAAATGTAGTATATGAACATCACTTTCTTCTCTCAGGCCTGCAGAGTATCTTCAAAGGCGTTTTGAAGCCCAACAGTACAAGATTAAAGTGGAAAAACAGCTGGTAAGTAAATACTGAATCATAGAAAAAAATCTGTAAAAGAAACTGAATGAAAATTCAAAAGATGAACTGATGTCTTTCTAACAGCAAACTGTAATGCTGACAGTTACAAAGTTCTTCTCTAGCCAATTCATTGACCTGCTCTGCAATGCTCATCTGGAAGTTTTATTTTCTAATACAAAACCGTAGCAATGTAAAATTTTACTATAACTTTTTCCTCCAAAAATATACACTTGCTTTACTGCACTTTTCAGTGGGTCAGGGAGAGTTAATTGAGTGAGCACTAAAGGTAAGGGTTCTAAATCAAAGTTCCTTTGCTCTGGGATTTATTTGTACATCCATAGGGACTGCGACCATCCTCTGCTGACCCATGTCATGACCAAAAACAGCAGCAGAAAATAAAGGAAGAGCATCTCAAAAACCATCAGCAGGACATGTCTAGAAAGAATGAAATGAAAGAACAGGTAAATGTTAAAAAAAATTCAATAAAGGTCTTACTTAGCTGCTGAAGGTTGTCTTCAGAATCAGAGAATCAACTAGGTTGGAAAGGACCTTGAAGATCATCCAGTCCAACCATTCACCTAGCACTGACAGTTCCCAACTACACCATATCCCTCAGCGCTATGTTGACTCTACTCTTAAACACCTCCAGGGATGGGGACTCCACCATCTCTCTGGGCAGCCCATTCCAATGCCTAACAACCCCTTCTGGAAAGAAATACTTCCTGACATCTAGTCTAAACCTTCCCTGGTGCAACTTGAGGCCATTCCCTCTTGTTCTGTTGCTTATTACTTGGTTAAAGAGGCTCATCCCCAGCTCTCTGCAACCTCCGTTCAGGTAAGAATTGATTCTTTTCCATCTGACCACTAGGAAAATATAAGCTGTTTTCATCTGGTTCCATCTTACATAAACTGATGAAGAGTTGCACAAAAGCTGGTGTCCATAATAATTTCGTAAACTGTGGCCTTGATTTTGATCTCCCTTCTACTGAGGTTAGAGGAGTTACATGACTGAACAAACTAATGTTGGAGGACAATAGATCCTCACATTTATAAGAGAAGATAGTCATACATGCATTATTCATGTATCATTTATATTCATTGTTCATAAGTTGTACTATGACATTTAGAATGTGATATAATAGTTTATGATGCATATACTTCCCTAATATGTTATAACTTTTGGAGATTATTTTATACAGAAACAATATAATTTTCTGGTTTTGCTTTTGAGTGACAGAGAAAACAAACTGATACTTCTTTCTTACATAAACACATGTAAATACATCCAATCTTTCTATCTTTGATTTATAAAAAATGCCAGAACAAATATGAATAAATGAACTTTTACATAATGGTCAGACTTTGGAATAAGAATATACTCATCATGTACAAATTTTTCAGAGACTGTTGCTATTTGGTTCCACCAAGTCTGTACTAAATGTGCCAAAAAATTAAATTTTACAGATTTGTTCATTTGTAACATGGGCAAATTGAGATAGACTCTCATATAAACAGTAACAGAGATGTCCTTAACACAGATCTTTTGGCTAAATTGGAAGTTTTTGCTCTAAAGCATAGGAATGTTGAAGCTTCTCCAAGAAAACATTACCAGGTTTTGTTTCATTTTGGGGAGCAGGTTGCAATTCAATAAATATTACACAGTATTTTGTCCTCCTAATTTCCAGTCCTGTATTTTTGGATTTCAACCTTAGCATCATTATTCAGACAGTCCTTGGGTTATTCTTGGAATTACCTGGTTTTGATATAATTTTACAGAAAAGCTAGTGTGAAGCAGTTTGGAAAATTTCAAAAGGCTAAAGTCTGAAAGAGTTATAACTCTAAAGTGTCCTCTAATAGGAAGTATTAAGCAATCTTTAAAATTGGCAGTAAAGGACACCGATTCCTTTTTCTCATATATACATGGTTTGATATCCATAGGATATTTTGTTTAACTACTGTTACGTCTGTATGTATTTCTGTGTGTATGTATTCTACATTACTGTTCTTTAATAGGAGTACCTGAAACAACTGCAGAAAATTCGGGAAGAATATCACAGTAATATGAAGGAATTCAGGTTTAGAGCAGGAGTACTCCAGGTAACAAAGCTCAAACATACACATTGTCATAGTTCCTTTTTCTTTTTTAAGCTAGTACACTTAATTAGAAATTGAAAATAACATTTTATAAAAATGTTCCCTAGGAGAATCAAAAAATACAAGATAAAACCTATGTTGTGAGGCAAGGGAAAGCTGAGGACCGGTCTGAAACCAAGGATACAGCTAGAATAGGAGAAGAATCACTTCAGGTATCAGTACCATCTCCTGGTCTGAACAGAACTTTTTGTGCAAGTCCTGCATGGTCTTTGATTCTCTCTCTGTGACAAATCTGAAAAATGGTAAAGCTTGTATCTCACCTGTTGCTTGTACCATATGTGAAAGTCTCCCTAGGTTCCCTTTGTGAATAGTCTGGGAAGTTTCTTTGGCTGAGTTCTGACTTGTTTTGGTAATTATTTTTCATCTGTAAATATTAGGATGTACTCTTTATTTATTCTTGTAGTATGTTGAGTGAAGTAAAGAAGAAGCCACTCACACTGCAGATCTTTATGAGAAATCTGTGCAGAAGATGACAATGAAGGAATTCATGATGGCCCAGATGAACACTGTGTGGAAAATTAGAATCCAGTTTTATGTAGAGTCCTTAAACAAAAATTTGGGAGAAGTGGGAGGAAGAGGCAGAGCCGGAGCTTTCCAGCTACAGTACTCCTTCACTTCTTTCTCATCAAATACTGCCAAAGCGGCTACTGAAATGGAATTGTTCCACTTTTACTTTGAAATACTGGCATTGTGAACACCAGCTGAGGTTTCCAGACCACATGAAATTCTGCAGCAAGAAGTCTGCTCTTCTTGAAGTGAAATGAATGAAAACCTCAGTTTATGAAAATTAATCTCTGTGTGCAAATTCCCAGTCTATTCTGAAGGGAAGACAGCTCTGATCTAGCTACTAAGATTCTTCAGTCAGCATTTGTCTCATGTGCTGTAGGACTTCCTGCACTGTTCAGTAGCAAGGGGCAGACTTCTACATAAACCCATGACAGACATTGCTATCCTATTGCAGCTGGAACTTGGGCCAAATCTGCCAATATTAGTAAGATTTCTTCAGCAATTTTCATAGATCCTGGATCTTGGTTTTGCTAAAATTAATTCACACATCACTTGATGGGATAAAGTAGGTTATAGGCAGCCAGAGCCACAATGGGACAGAAATTATATTCCCAGTGAATTAATGGGAAATACATGATAATGAAAAAGAAACACTAGATTTTGCACCTGCTTGAGGACACTTTAGTTCATATTCACTCCATCTACTGGAGAAACTGCACAGATATTTTAAAAAAGTAAAATCTGTGAATTGTTGTGGTTTCACCTGAGGTTGAGGATATGCCCTAATTGCAGCAGATCACTGAAGGAGCTGCATACCATTATTTACTTTGCTTTTATCTGACAGACTCTAACAAAGGAATATGAAAAGGAGTAATTAAATATTTTTTGAGTGTTACCAGAGAACAAGATGCTATGAAAGATGGCTATACTTTTTACAGGCATAGGTTTCTATTATGGTCTTGATTTTCATCACTTCCAGAGTTTTCCAGAATGAAATCAGCCTGAGTCATCTTGCATATGATCGTAAAAAAGAAAAGATGTATTATTTATTTCTTGACACAGTACTGTATCCTTCGAACACAGGTTTTTGAAAAGTCAGAGGTTTGCACTTTATGCACTGTTTCCTATTTTTTGTTTTTGCCAGATAAATCAGAATTATAATGTCTTTTAGTATTAGAGTCTAAATAAGGCAGGAAATAGAATGTTCTTTCAGATACATAAACAAGGAAATCAGTGACTACATTTACTACTTAAACAAGTCTTTTTTCACAGGGTATACACATATTCTGGTTCCAAAGATTGTATTTTAAAGTGGTTGGTTTTTTTTTTCTCCTTTCAGGACATGGAAGAAAACTTTAAACAAGTCAGACTCCAGGATAGGCAAGACCAAAAACTCTTAGGAAATAAACATAACAGAAAGGTATCCATCCTTATTGTTGTATTTTTTTCCATTTTCTTCTTACATCTGTACATTTCAAATTATTGTGTTACCACGATAGCTCTGGAAATAAAGTTATTTAGAGAGTCAGTTAAGAGTGCTGGTCTACTGTTTGTTAGAAGTTTATATGAGAAGATAGAATCACTAAGAAAATAAATGATCTTTTCTGATCATTTGAGGGACACTTCCTTCAGATATTCCCAGATAGTAATCAATCCCTACCTACTCATCTTTCTATCAGACTGCTTTAGTAGTGTATGGGAACTCACGTTTACTCAAAGTTTAAATGAAGTCAAGTCAGACTGCTAATTTGTTAACGTTTTGATGTAAAACATTATTCTCTGTAGTGCTTTGTAAAATTGTAGAAATGGGGATGGGAATTGAATATAAATGCACATAAGATAGCAGGGAAGTTTCTAACCATGAGATCATTGTGAAGTGTACTAAAGGTCTAATGTGAAATATTCTATGGAAGCAGTACGGTATTCAAATTTTAATACTGGTTGAGAACCATCTGTATACCAACTCTGTGTATTACAAGGATTCGAATTAAATGATTATCAAAGACATGTTTCCTTAAAATCAAAAGTGGATGCAATAATTTGAAAATATCCATAGATTCATCTATTTCTGTCCAATTTGTTCCACTTTGATATTGTTAAGTAGAAGAAAAATATTGTTAAATAGAATTTATTTTCAATAGAAGAATCATTTTCACATTTGTAGTTCCATATAAACTGTGTACATTTAATTTTTTTATTTAATAAAATAAATTAATGAAGTGTGTGAATTTTCTTTAGGGAGGGGTAAAGTTTGAAATTAATTTAGATGTATGTGTTCCTGAGGAAGACAGCATTCAAGAAGCAGAGGTATGTTGTAGTTGTATTTAAAGCATTTACATTAGTAATCTGAAACCATGACAGTAGCTCCATGATCCTAAAGCTTGTTTCCATTACCATCTTCTACCTTTGTTATAATGAAGCTTCCTATTGAGGATTGTTGACATATTGAATATATCTGACCTTATTCAAGAGAATAATTGCTTAGAAGAATAATGGATGATATCTGGGTCAATCTTTCACATGGTAAAAGATGAAAGAGTGCAGATACTTAAATTTTGTTAACTGGGCTTGAGGGGAAGAACTCATCTCAAAATTGAGTTAGTCTGCAAATGACAAATTTGATTTGTAAATTGTTCTAGTACATTTCTGATTCTTTTCACCAGTATTGTATCACAGAGCAAAAATAATGTTGTGATGAACCAGCTGTTATTTAGAAAAAGTGGGAGACTACAGACAACATTATGTGTCATTTATTAAAATGACATTTGTGACTGATCAACATGTAATAGCTACCTATTAAGATTTTTATTAATATATTGTTTATAACAGCAACATGGAAAAATATAATTTCTTTCTAGTATATGTATTCTTATTTTATAAAGCACTATTTTGTCATTCCATTGTTTCACATCTCTGCAGAGACCCATGTAGCCCTCTGATACACAAACCACAATTGACTTTTGAATTCTGCTGCCTCACTTTTTGTTACATAGTTTTCCTGTGCATGCATGTGAATGGCTGGCAAACACGGTAAAATAAGTGCTTAGTTATTGTCCCATATTTGTTTTCTCTTTCGAGAGTAATCTATTGTTTTTTCAGGTACTAGATAAACTCAGTGAGACTTTAACTTTTGTGGGTGGTAAGAATTTTAAGGATAAACTGGTGGAAATTTATGAAGATCCTATGGACAGAGCTTTGGGAGAACTATCTGGATACCAAACAGGTATTTCTTGGGGAAATGCAATGCTGAGTATTAGTCCTGAAAATTACATAGGAGTTAGGTAAATTCAGTAATTCCAGCCTATAGCAAGTTTATTTGATGAACTCTCTATCACATAATATGATAATCACACTGAAATATACTTAAAATAAATGAAGTAACTTTGCCTTCTCTTTTTCTTCCCCTTAGAGTCCAATAACACAGATGATAGGAAAGAAAACAGAAAACACCGGCAAACTAGAGCTCCTCAGACACTACTGAATTTTTTAGCTGATGCTGATGTCACATCTGTATGTCCTACTATGGCTGAAAATGAACTTGGTAAGAAAATTTTGTGTTTCAGTGAAAGTAAGGATCTGCTAAAATTCAGCCAGACTATTTACAGACCTTTGTCAAAACAATTCCATACCAGAATGTTCACATGATCTGACAGGCTTTTAATTTCAGGACTTCATAACTGAGACTATTGGTGTGCTAAACCATAGAATACAGTCATCATTTTCCCCTCTTTCCTATATTGCAATCACATTTTGCTGCTCATACATATAAAGAGGGCTGCATTTTATGAATCACTCTGTGGCCTGGGTAACAACAGTTAAATATGTCAGCCTATGCAACTAATCGACACCACTCCCTCAGGCCTTGAGTCAATGACACACAAGAACTAAGGCAGTCAGCTGCTGACGCCATCCCAGAGTGTGGTGGTGGAGTTCTGGCTTCCCACTCCACACATTAGTGTTGCTACACAATCACAAGTACTGGCTCACACAGGTTTGGCTGTGGTGATCTCTATTTCAGAAGAGGCTAATCGTCAGGTTTCTTACAGCACCAGTGCCTGTATTCCCAGGCAGCCAGGTATCGCCAGTCACTGGTTGCTGCAAACAAGGAGCTTTTCCAGCATTCCAGCATGCTTTCAACAGTCCAGATACACAGAAATAACCTGAAGAGTTTGCATGGACAGTGAAGACGAAGCAGAATATTATTAATATGCCACTTCTTGTTCATTCTGCCTGAGATGAAAGAGCGTAGGGCACAAAAGAAATAGGAACTTCTTTGAAGCTTTTTCAGCACCAAGAAGCCAGCAAGTTTGAGAGCAAGGACTGCTTAGTGAAACTGCACCTGTCTATTGCAGGCTTAATAAGCAGTTACATGAGCATTCAAACTGGCGTTAGAAATTTTTAGTGACAAATAGTCCAAACTATTTTTTCTCTACGGTATCACTCAGATCAAATGCTTACAAAAAATTCAGGATTATTACCCAAAAGAAGAGAAAAAAAGGTTCCAGCATTACCCGATAGCAAGAAATCGGTGTCAAGACTAGGAAGTCTGACTCTGAGAAAAGACAGTGCCAAGGTACAGTCATGCTTTAGTGACCTGAGAACCTTGCTGTTCTTCAGCTGACCATGCTATTCTGCCTGAGGACATCCTGGAAAACAGGAAGCAGTGGAAACAAACACCACCAGGGACACTCCTGAACATCTTAGCAAAAGCAGAGCTGTCTAATGATTCCTTCATCCGTCTTGAAGAAGAAATAGGTATGAGATTTGCTACTGTAAATTCTGCAAGTTTTTTCTTTAGTGTATTGTTTCCTCTACCATTGGCAGAGGGTATGTGATGAGAACCAACATTTTGAAGCAGTTTGCAAACTGGAAAGACACAGACAGCCTGTCCCAGCAGCCACTGCTCTGTCCTGTAGCAGTGAAAGGCCTCTTTTGGGACGTTTCTGTTTTCAATAGCAGGGAAAAGGGCAAGCCCTACTTATTGTCTGTTACTTTCATATATAATTCTTTCGTTTGATTGGGTTGACAGAGGTAAGCTACTTCTGCCAGCAGGTTGTCAGTGCCACAAACCTGGATCTAGCCCCTGCAGCTGTTGAGGTTGAAGAACCCTGTAAAAACCATTTATATAAATACATGTATTTCTGTAGAACAACTGCAAATTATAGTACATAGCGACTTAAACTACAGTGGGGACTTACTTTACAACATGGTTCATGCTGGTACAGCTGACCCTGAAATTGATTCGAACTCACACGGCAGAGCACTTTCCTAAAGTAAGACTGGTTTAGAAATGACATTTACTTTGCATCAAAGCTGTTAGCTAAAAAGCTGAAGTATCTTCCACAGAAAGATGTTAAATGTAACCAGACGTTGTCGTTTTATGCGCATTTGCCAATCTGCTGAACATATAATTGGCTGACAGGATTTATGCCCACTAAACTGTACATGCCAAGTTTCAACAGTTTTAATAGAGCATGAGAAATATCTTTCATTTGCAACTGTGCAGTCAGCACTCTCCTGCTAATTATGCCTCACATACATGTTTTCTCATAGCATAATGAGCTTTTTTAGAACTGCCCCATCCTGAAGGCTAAACCAGCTAAATGTACTAGCTCAGTTCCTCTCCTAAGACTAGCTTTATTGCTTACACATCAAAAAAAACCCCAACAAAATTAAATTCAAGCCACTTTTCACTAATGGTAGCAGTTAGGGCTAAAGCAAGAATAAGTCACACAGGTATTCATCTTGCTGTTGCTTTTATCAGTTACATTTATTAAAATATGGCAGTTTCTCAATGCCCAGATCTGCCCTGCTACTTCAAGCTGACATTGTGGAGTACAGTGTTACCCAAACTGTCAGATTTCTGTTGCATCACATGCAGAACTTAGTGTTTATACTAAAGCAACAACTCTTGTCATTGTTCTCACCTTCAGGTTAGGATTGCCCTTCAGTCTTTGAAAGCAAGCATTTTTAGGTAACCCAAATAGTAATTTTCAGTCTTTCCTAAACAGTACTCCCCTAAGTTTTCCACGTGTTGTGGTTTGAGCCCAGAGGGAAACTGAGCACCACTATGCCATTCACTCACCCCATCCACCTCAGGAATGGGAAGGAGAAAATAAAGCAAAAGGCTTGGGAATCAAGATAAGGACAGGAAGAGGAGGCTCACCCGTTATGGTTACGGCAAAAGACAGACTCATTAGGGGAAGAAAAATATCATCACTTTAATTCAAACACTAACAACAACACCACTTAACAGACAGAGTGGAACAGAGAGAAGCATTACCACATCTCAAAAACAGCTTCCCCCCACTCCTTCCTTCTTCCCAGGCTCAATTTTGTTCTTGATCTCTCTACCTCCTGCCCCTCAGAGGTGCAGGGGCAGGGAATGGGGGTTATGGTCAATTCGCCGCTCCTCCCTCTTCAGGAGAGGGACCTCTTGCACTTGCCCCTGCTCCAGCGTGGTGTTCCTCTCCCAGGAGACAGTTGTCCATGAACTTTGGCGTGAGTTCTTCCTGTGGGCTGCAGCCATTGCCGTGCTGCTCTGGCATAGGTCACTTCTGCATGTTGCAGTTCCCCCAGCATCGAGCTACAACAAGGGGGCTGCTTCTCCCCTCAGAGTCCTGGCCTCCTTTAAGCACAGCTGCATGCTGTGGTGTGGGATCCTCCACAGGTGAATCTCTGCTCCTCTGGTGACCTTCCACAGTGGCAGGGGGGTGGCCCTGCCATCTCACCATGGGATGCAGGGGGGGTCTTTGCTTGGGCACACCTCCCCCCCTTCTCCCTCCTTCCTTCCACTGACCTCAGTGTGTGCATGAGTGTCCCTCTTGTAACTCCTCCTTGTAAGTCACACTCCCCATCCCAGATTCCCCTGGGCAATATGTTACCGCAGTGGCGCAGCCACCATTGCTAATTGGCTCGGCCTCAGTGCAGAGGCGGGTCCAACTTGGAGCTGGAGGAGCTTTCAGAAGATTCTCACAGGGGCTACTGCTTAGCCCCTTCCCTCGCTACCAAAAACCCCACCACACAAACCCAGCACACACTGAAAATGCAAATCCTTGTATTGGGAACTTAAACCTACTAACATTAGATCACCTTTCTTATTTAACTTTTATAGTCCTTTGGTTATGGTCTACAAACACTCTACGTTCCACTAAGCAGAATTTACAAACCACTGACTAAAATATGTGATGAAGAATAACAGAAGCATGGTATTTACACTGTTGTAATTTGAAGAACAACAACAAAAAATAATTCAAGCATTTACTTATTTACTATTACTTTACGCATTTTTATAGTTAGCTAATATACAAATAAAGGAACATTTCCCTTCCATTCCAGAAGAGGGATTAACTATGTCTCCTCCAAAAGAAGACAAGGAAGATGATTCAGAAACCTGCTCTGCTGTTGCTGTTGATGAAGGCAGACTTGAGCCAAGATCAGATGATGAAGACACGTAAGTCAAGCACCTCAGAAGAAAAATCCATACAACTATTTTTTGTGAAATGACAGTTCGCATTGCCTAAGGCTTTTCTTTTAAATTAATAGATGAAGAAAACTTACTTGTTTTACAGTCTGCTAATTTAACCTTTAATTTTGTAATTTAATATGCCACATGACAACATTGTAATTAAAAATGTTATGCAGAAGTATTAACATGACTTTGCAGCTCCTGTTCTCTTACCTTATAAATACAGATAAATAATCTCACAGAGAAAGACGAAACAGTTCACATTATGTATCACTTGTATATTCTTTATAAAGTGTTTAAAAAAAGATAATCTCAAAAGACCTTGAAAGGAGAAAGGCTTTTAACAAAGATATATTTAATTAATATAATTATCTTGCTTTACTTTACAGAAATTTTGAAGACTCTGAAGATGAACTCAGACATGAGCTGGAGGAATCTCTGGAAAAAGTGGCAACTTCTCCAGCAGAGAGAACCATGAAGTCTCCCATCCTTTCAATAAATAAAGGTCAAACAGATGAAGAAAAGATGAGTTTATCTCACAAACTACTTGGAAAATCCAATGATGATTTAGAAAATAACCATGGGTCATTTAGTGTTGACACACGAAATGAAAAAGGCAAGCAGGAAGCAAGAGCTACCTAAAACACCAGCAGTTACTGTTTCAAAGCTTTCAGTCACATCAGTAACAAAACTGAAGGACAGCTGACATAAAATGCCAAGTAAATCAACTGCTTTTCAACAGTGCTAAATGCTTGATTAAAATTCATGAAAGGTTGTTACTATTGTGTTTAAAAGGAAAAAAATCAGGCTACTTTTCAGATGTCTAAATGTTGATAAATCCTCATCCAGATTGAAATGCACTTACATCTTTATTATTCTAAACTACCTGAGACATCTCTGACAACACTTGCTTAAGCAAATTTCTGATTGCATACTCTCTTTAAACATTTTTGTATCATGTTAGAAAGTCTCCTAGTCAGTATATTTTTCTAGCTCCATCAACTCTGTTTTAAACTCCTCCAGCTTTTCATAATCTCTGTGTACTGCCAATTCAGCTTTACAATCCATAGGTCATTTATAGTACTGACCCTACATAGTATCACCAACTGCTCATCAGTTTTATATAGTAGCAGTAAAAGGGTTTATTAGCACCGTGAGACTTGTGCATTACCTAATGCATAATAAAACATGGAACAGTAGGTTCTTCCAACCGTATTTTTTTATATACAAAATTTCGTATAATCCAGGTGAAAAATAGAGGGAAAACCACATTCTAAAGTTTGATTTCAGTAGCTTTTTGCACTTCTCTTTAGTTTGCTAAAATATAAAATACTGCTTTGATGGCTCAAATAAGGACTCTATGTTTTTCCTTTTTGACACAAAAGCAGATGTTCAATTTTTGAACATTTTGTTCACAGTGTTCTCAGTTTTATAACAAGCAGTAGTTCAGGACTTTAACGTTCTTGTTTGTATAGCATTTAATTATGCCCTCTAATCTAGACCCTTCTATTCCCTAGGAACAGAAAACTTCTCAGTAGAGTAGGGTTGGAAAAATACCATTAAGTTGTCATACTGTGAAAGGGCATGAGGAAATAGCTAATAGGAGGATCATAGACAAGTGCAATTACTACACTTATTAAAAATCAAGCTAGCAAAACCACCATATGATTAAGCTATAGGAATCACTGTAGGTAATGAAATCTCCAGATCCACAATTAAAATCCCACATAATAGAATTTTGCCACACAATGGAGGACAGCAAATTGAAAATGTGCTACAGATTCTGGGGAAAAAAAAAAAAATCTGGATACAAAAGCTAATCAGACAAAAGTGTTGACTTTAAAAAGGGGACTGTGGGTGAAGAGTCATGAAATGATTGGAGACTGAAAGTATTCAATAAATAAAAGAACTTTCAGATGCAGTTCTGTTACCAAGAAGATATGACAGTTCTGTGAATCCAGAAGGTTTTACAGTGCACCGCACTGTCATGTAGTCAACACAGAAAATTTTCAGGAGCATTTCTTCCCCAATAAAAAACCCTCTATTACATAAAGCAGATGCCCTGACAGAAAAAAAAAAAAAATCTCTTTAGAGAATGGGACCAAGGGATCATAGATTAGATATAAGTGACACATAGTCAAATATAAAAAGTTAATTTTATTCATATACATTTACTTAAATAATGGCTCCACAGATAACAGGAAAGTCTCTTCAAAATGCTGGTCAGAAAACCTGTGCACAGAGCGACGAGCATTTTCTCTGATCTCTAACCTTTTTTCAGGAGACAAAGTGAGGATATAAGCCATCATATCAGCATAATTGTCCTCATTTTCTGCTAGGAAGCCTGTAATACATCCTTCGTAGGGTACCACAATATCTAATTTGGGGCCTCCAGAATTGTGAGCCAGGATAACAGTGCCAGCTGCCATACATTCAACTACTCCTGTAAAAGACACAAAACACGCCAATATGAATGTGCACATCATGTACTTTGGTGTTCTATAAGGCATGGGAAAGTTAAAACCGCAGTTAAATTAATTCAGAATTATAAGTTACTACAGAATGCTGTTCTAGGTCAGTTTGAAAAATACAGAGTAAATGGTCTCATAAGAAAAAACAAATCTGTTTTTCAGTCCTAACGACTGAAATGATAGTTCATCTTAAACACATAAAATGGAAACTAGAAATCAGATATAATTGTTTAAGATGTGGTTCTTGCAACATATTTGATTTCCCTGAGAGACATTGTATCACCAGTATATATACTGTGAAAAAAATCCACTATAGATACTGAAACAAGTGTAAAGACAAACATGGAAGGCAGCTCCGTGACAGAACACTGCATAGTTCTGTTCTGTGACAGAACACTGCAATGATGGTTTTATGGTATAGTGGCAGCAGCAAAAAATAATTAACACTTAGAACTGAATGTAACTGTATTGATTTTCTCATTCACGCTGAATATTTTTTAACATTTACAAAGATACTGAGAGAAAAGATGACTATGCACATTTCAATGAGATGATATTCAGAAGTTTAGTATTTGACAGATTAATAAACCTTTATAGCTTTTCACAACTCATCAAGACAAAATAGTAAAAATTGGTATCACTACATCTGTATTTTTGATGGAAGACATTTTAATGAAATAGGAATCTGATAGTAAGCTTTCCTCAGCCAAAAGCAGTAGGATAGGAGTAGCATATAATGTACACATCAGCTTCAATTCTCCTCCATGTTTCCAGAACAGACCTCAGAAATCACTTTAATTGCTGATTCTTCTCAGTTCCGATTTGATTTTTAAAAAGCTCCCCTAGCTCAAATATTGCCAATTCTAAATAATGCTCCAAAGTTTTGGAACATGTTTTTTACAGGTAAGAAGTCATTGGAAATGAAGGTGAAATCATACTGAAATTCAAAACCAGAGTGTGACTGTATCACTTTTAAAAAAAGTAATTAAACTGTTTTGTGTTGAAAAAAAAAAATCTGAGAAATAATTATTTTCATTTTGTGGCAGATGCTTGAGAGTCACTTCAGAGTAAATTTTTGTATACCAAGTTCCCACAGACTATGAACTCCTGATAGTTACTTAACTTGTATTCTCATGAAGTCTGATGACATTAAGTGCAGTTTAGTCACATTCTAGCCAAGTACAGCGTATGTCTGCTTGGTTGCCATTTGCCCATCTGCCATAAATCTATGACAGGGTAAATCTGACATTCCCTTTCGAGGTCAGGACTCAACTAATCCCAATAAACTGTGCCCAATACCTTTATTCTGTATGACAGCACACTGCAAACCAGGTCCCAGCTCCTCTCTGGCATTCTGCTTCACACTATGGTGACTGATTTAAGAACTTTTAATTGCCTTAGCACAGGTGCCTGGTGCAATGAGGTGACCAAGGGTACGTGGTGGCATCTACGTGGGGCTTACAAATAACAGACAGGATCTGTGGGAGACTCACGCCTCTGAAACAGCAGCTAGAAGCCCAAGACACATACTAGGTATTTCAAAAGGCACTTGAGGCAGGTGAAACACAATCAAAATCTCTCCACATGGATATCTACATCTGAACTGTGTCTAAGCTCCCCCTGCAGTCAGTCTTCTGCTTAAACAGAAGTACCTGCTGCCTTCTGAGGCTCTGTTGGGTATGGAAGGCATCTGCGTAAAGCTGGCAAACCTAACACATGACCTTGGAGAGCTGGAGGTCAGGCAGGACATCCTGGGCAGCACAGATGGGACTAGTTGACTGTTTAGGTGACTAGAGGATGCCCATAATTGACTCTACAACATCTACAGCGCTTCAACTTGCACTACCGCAGCAGCCAGTGGTTAGTCATCTGAACTGGTCCTGTAGGCTCTACCTCAGCTAGACTGCCTCTGGTGAGAAGGGGAGCTGGACACCTGCTTGGCATGCAGACCTCTATGCTTAGACACCTACACTGAGGAGCCTTAAGCATGAACTGAAGCCCTCCCCAGCTGTGTCCCCAGCTGGGACAAATGGCTGAACACAGAGGAAAGATACTGACCGATCCCAAAGTGCTCGTTCCACATCGTATGCAGGCCGATGGTGGCCTCGGCCAGGTGTCTCTTTAGCTCCTCAAAAGGAACATTTATTCTGAATGTCACATTTTCACTAACTCCCAGGTCTTCACAAAGACGTTTAAGGTTCTTTACACGCTCTTCATCTTGCTGGTTACGACAGCCTCCAATTAAGATAAGTTTCAGTGATGGCTGCTGCCCCAGTCTCTTCTCTTTCAGCAATTTAGCAAAGGCTCTGATTTGCAAAGGATGATCTTTTTCAGGCCTGAACTGGCTGACAGAAACAATGGAATACTCAGTGGTGCTCTTTTCCTCTTCCAGTGGAATATCCAGGAAGGTCTGAACATCGCATGGTGGATACACAACACTAGTGCAAGCCCCAGCTCTCCAGAGGGAAAGGATGTGATTTAGTGTCCAAGAAGAATTAACCATAATCACATCACTGCAGGAACCAACCAATCCGTACATTAAAGCAAAGAAGTAGTAGTAGGCAAGCTTAAATTTGCTGAAAAGAGGACTGTTTGTAATGAAAGCTGCATTGTTAAACCTGGTATCTTGATTCCTAACGACAGAAAGCATATCGGTGCTGATAGTGGGATAATGGACATAGCATCCAACGCAACAACCTCCTAAATATTTAAAGAGGGGAAGCGTGAAGGCATAACCCATTGAGTCAATATAAATATCGGGAACACACTTCAGAAGAGCTTCCCAGCCAAGAAACACTGATCCTAAACTCTGTCCCAGCAAAGTGAAGTGAGGGTAAAGAGAAGCTTCTACAAGGTAGCGATTTTCTAGAAATACAAACTTCACAGGATGAGTTAATTTAATATTGAATCTTCTGAAAGCGCCTTCTACTATCTCTTCTGCAGTAGCATCTCTATCACCAGTGTAAACAACACATGTTATATTTCTGTACCTGCAAAAGAGAAAGAATTTAATAGATGCTTCTCTTCAAAATTTTTAACAAGAAACTAAAATTTTATCCACTCAAAATTACTCAAAGTACGTGAGAACAAATGTCTCTGAAATGATTTTAACTCAATTATACTTTTCCTTATACTTCCAGTTTTTTCTGATGTGCAGAAAAAACATATGGCTGAGGACTCAGGAAAATGTTTTTTGAGTAAAACATAAAATGAGATCAGTATTTTTCCACAGACTAAGAACAACACCTTGCCTGACATTAGGAGATGTCTGTCTAGCGCACAGCATGAGTAAAATGCAGAAGATTGTGCAACCAGTGGATGTACCAATTTTAGATGTTAATTTGTTTTGCCACCTGCACCAAGAGGCAAGTATCGAGATTATCAGTAATCTACTGATGAGTTATGCCTATATGAAGTTCCATACCGGTAATGGAAAACTGATGAAGGAGGAGGGGTTCTCCCAAGGAGAGAAAGAAGAAGCAAGAGAAGGATGGCAGGACAGCAGGAAGGATGAAGTGGAACAGTGCAGTGAGATGAAACTCAAGACATAAAAAAAAAATGGTCAGCCTGGTAATGATACCTATTTAAATATGTGAAGTGCAAAAATATGCATAAATAATACCATCAGTAGCTAAGAATGAAATATGGTATTTGATAAGCATACATGCTTACTTTTTCTGGAGCGTTCTTATGGCACACCACAAGACTCTCTCGCCTCCACCACCGGCATTGCAATATGGGTGAAAAAAGGCAACGAGCAACGGCCGCTTCCCATCTTTTCCTGCTGAGATCAGCTGGTTTTTCCTTTGTTGTATCCAGAGTCGTATTCCCCACAGTAGTACCACCAAGCAGACACATAAAATTCCACTTAGAAATAATGCAGGGATTAACAATGAGCACAGCAATCTGAAACGAGCCAGAAATTTTAAAATATAAAAGTGCTTTAAAAAATACTATGTATGAAATTGAGAGAGAGGGGCTTACCAGTAGAGCTACAGGGAGCTCAACAATTGCGTTTTAATCTCAGAAATCATCAATATCTGTGTGCCATATCAACAATTACGGATGAAAAATCACTATTCTAAATTGTTTAGCCAAAACCAGTAGTTTTTTTCCTACTGTTACCTTGCAATCGTTTATTATTGTTTATTCATGCCATGTATCTAGATCTACCTACACGTGCTCTACACACTATAAAGGTTGCATGCCTTTATCAGTCTGGCAAAACACAAGTAGGGAAGTGATTTCTAAATAGATTTGTGACAGCTTTGTTCAGCTCAAACTCCTATTCAGCCTGCCTTCGTATGAACAGCTTTGGTGCAGAGGTATTTGGGCCAGCCTGCAGTGCATGACCCAGAACCTTTCCTATTCCCCTGAGATCTGAAGAGCTATGTCAGCTCTCCAGAAAAATCTCTGAGCAGTTTCTCAGATCTGTCTCCTCAGATCTCTAAGGCACTCTCGGACATGGGCATTCCCTTTGCTCACCACCACCTCCCGCACAGCTCTCCTAACCCAGGAACGGGAGGCTTCTCACACGAGTGTCTTCTTGGCCTAAAGAGCTTTACACAGGCGCCAGAGCCTGGATTCTGATGCTGTGCTACGCGTTATGATAAGACATAATTTACTCCACAGTAGAGTTAGAGTGGCTGCCCACGAGCCACGCGTCACAACTGACACATCAGGTAAGAAAACACTTTCATTTGCGAGATGAGGAAGCGAAAAAGCACATTAACCCATCCGAAGCCGGTGGCTAAGCGAGAAGGATCGGAGCAGAGACCCGTCCCGTCCCGCCTCGCCCTGCCCTGCCCTGCCCTGCCCCTGTCTCTGCCGCCCGCCTACCCTGTCCCCGCTGCC